GATAGATAGATAGATAGATAGATAGATAGATAGATAGATAGATAGATAGATAGATAGATAGACAGACAGAGATATAGAGATATAGAGATATATAGAGATAGAGGTAAAGAAAATAGAGATAGAGAGAGTTAGCTAGCTCTTTGGCTGTCCACAAGCATGATGATAATTGGTTGGCACAACTGATTGTTATTAGCACATAGCTGCTCTCACTTTGCCTGCAAAAGCTTGATTTAAAAAAATGTGTGTGTTTAAATAGTTTACACACACACACACACACACACATTGTATTCAAAAGCTCTGTTCTCAACTGACTCACAAAAATTCTTGAAAATTTGACAATTGGCTGTTATGAACCAACACAACTTGATTCTATCATACTATTTTGTATGAGCAAGTTTGATCTTCCATGTGAGAGTTAGCAATAGCACTTAGACATATATACTGCTTCACAGTGCTTAACAGCCCTCTCTAAGCAGTTTACAGAGACCACATATTGCCCCCAACAATCTGGGTCCTCATTTTAGCAACCTCAAAAGGTTGATGGGCTGAGTCAACCTTGAGCTGGTGAGACTTGAACTGCCAAACTGGCAGCCAGCAGAAGTAGCCTTCAGAACTACATTCTATCCATTGTGCCACTACTGCTGTTATAATTAGATGGAGAGAGAGGGAGGGAGGGAGGGAGGAAAGAGAGAGAGAGACAGACAGAGACAGAGATGATCGATAGGCAGAACTAACATATCAGTCCACTGAAGAATTAAGGCCCCTTCATTGAAGTTTATGCGGTTATGAAGCATAATCTATTCTACTGGTCCAGTAAAGGGTAGTAAATGCTTTTCTCAGTCTAGGGCTGAGATAAGTTACTGGCATCCAACTAGCTTCTGTGTTTTGGTTCTTAGTCTCTCTGTTCTTAGTCCAGTAACTTAATCACTACAATGACTCTAAAAATTTCCTTGGTATTATTTGGTATATTGTAGAGGAAAGGTCATTTTATCAAGGCTTCAGACCATGAAATTGAATGGTATGCCTTATGGTGCATTAACTAGAAGACACTTTTCCATCTGTCAATAGCAGACTTGATTTGAACACATATGATCCAAATGTTTCCACTTATCTTGAAACTGGTTAAACTTATTAACAAATTTTGTAATACTATTAGCAAATTATTAAATCTGAACATACATAATTCTCGAATATTAGTGAAGTTCCCACTAACGTCCATGTCAGTTTAGCCCTCATTAAAATCTGCACAGAAAAAAGAGGAAAAGTTTGAATGCATTTGATGAAACTGATATGAAGTCAAGAATGGGTTAAAATATGTCCATTGTTTATACCTGTGACATTTCTTAGCAATCATTAGAAATTGCACATATTTCAAGAGACCTGAAATTGTATAAAAAAGGTGATTATGTATTGATGAATCTCCTTGCTAGTTGTTCCTGTTGGAACCCAGGAAGCCAACAAGATTTGGATGCCAAGGAGTGGTACTAAAATGAAGGTGGCCCTCACAGCTTTCCTGTACTGAATAGATTTTTTAAGATGTCTTCTTGATTTCTTTATGATGACATGAACAATCCTTATTAGGATCAAGAAATTCACCTATAGAAAAAAATAGAATGTTAATTTCATGTCAATCTCATTTATATTAGAAAAAGAAATCTCATTCAATTTGACAATATAAACATCAACAGAGACTTTCAGGCCTAAGTCCCCAATGTTTGCATCAATGGTACTTTGACAAAATGGCTATAAAGTATTATTGAATGTAGCACTGTGCAACCACCATTAAAGCAGCTTTTTCTTCTGGCCTAGCTTTTCTCTGTTTCATTATATGATTCTACCATAATAAGCACTTCTGGGTTAATTTTTTTAAAAAAACTTAAAATTCAGAAAGGTGATTTTGACGATACAAAATATTCAGAAAGAGTGCAATCTAAATAATATTCATTGGAATGGAAATCATTGTGATATGTTCTTACCAAGAGAACACTGATGATAGGCCCCTCGATGATACAAAATAAAAAAGTATCTGTTCTGTACCAGCAGCTGTAAAAAAAAAAAAGATGCAAGGGTATTCTGGCCACAACACTGATTGTCTTTGGATTAGGACCACTCATTCAGTGACATTCAAAGTTATGACCCAAAGTTTTGCAGTGTCCCCACAGTCATGTGATTGGGATTTAGGTCCTTGGCAACCAATTTGCAATTATGAGGGTTGCAGCCTCTAGCAGTTCTGTGGTTGTCATTGTCACCTTCCCTTCCCTTCCTGGGGATTTTCAGAGAAGAAATAACAAACATGATATAATAAAGAGTCCCAAAATGCTATGTTACTAACTGATATAACTAACAGGTGACATCGAGCTTTATCACTTAGTGACAAGATTTTCATTCCCAACTACCCGAGGATTATCTGTGACTCCTTTAAATAAATCCCTGTAAAATATGCTTGGTGATTTTAGTTTTCACTTACTAATCATTGAAATATAGGCTTCTGGCTACAGCATATGTAGAGACATGAATTAAAGGGACTCCTGTGGGGGAAAAGGTTTTTTTTTAACAACATAGAGAATTGTATATATTTAGCTCCAATATTACTTTCGAATATTAATAACCTAAATTAATATTGAGGAGAAAATGTATGTATTATGTGATCTATGTGGTTACCAAGAGTCAGCTGATTTGATGTGACATAATCAATCAATAAAAAATGTCTTAGAGGAAAGAATGATTTTTTTCAAGGTTAGTATGCATCAAACTAAATTAAAGTAAGCATCTAAAATAAGTATAATTTATAGTCCATGTTAAAGATAGCATAAGAGCCTGTATATCTAACACAACATGTCAAGCAAGTAAAATGAGACCCCAGAATTCTATAGAATGGGGAGGGGGCTTAGAAAACCTTCAGGGATTCAGTGCAGCATGTTACTTTTCCCATGATGATAATTTGTCTTGCTACAGTGTGTGTTCTTGCAATGTAGAAAGAAGAGGAAGTGAAAGGAAAACAACGTACCCCAGCCGAAACAATAATACCACAGCAAGCCCTGTCTTTTTGCAAATACATTTACCACAGTGACAATGTAGAGGTAAATGCCTTCACAGTGCATCCAGAAGAAGTTGGAAACAAAAAAATACAACTGGGAGATGTGAAGCACTTTACATACCTGTGGACAGGCAGAAGCACAGACTCAGTACAGCATACAATTCATGCAGGCTCTTTTATAATACACTACAGATAATTTCCATCTGATTTAGCAAACAAACAACTGTGAAGAGGAAGATTAAACTTCCCAGGCTGTTCTCTGATTCAAAGGGCCCCTGTCACTCCTAGCTTTGAATCAGTATTCTCAACTAGATGATTGTTGGAAGAAATTTCTATCTGGGTTCAGTTCCAAGAGGAGAGAAAGAAACTGGAAACATGGAGGCTGCTTGGAAAGTTGGTTTAATGGAGCAGAACCATTAAGCACATGGTCCTGGTGCAGCTGAACACATGGGCTGTTATTTATCTCTTGGGCTTTGAATTTGAGCTTACAGTTCCTATGGCAGGAACATAAATTCTATGCATAAATTCAAATGCATACCCCAGGAATTTGTCTGAGATAAGCTTGGTTGAACTGTGCTGAGTGATGTAATGAAGAGGCTTGTGTTCTGAAAGGGTGTTGGGCAATTCCTATTATAGCTTAATGGCTTTGTCCTGGTTTGGATCTTGAGTGAGGGCTAATCCTTTCACCCTGGAGTTGAAGGTCTTTTGTCTTGTAGCTAGGTTGGCATCAGTCTTTCTGGGGCTATTAACAAAGGTGGGGGCTGTTTTCCTAGAGCATGTTTTTCCTTTTTTCATCTAGGGAGGTATAATATTCTGCCTTTTAAATATTTCCTAGCATATTTCATTATTTTAGGAGAGGGGTGGATGCTAACTTTCCACATGCTGAAGCTGATAAATTTGAAAAAGTAAAAACAACATCATGTCTACTTACTGGAGGAGTTACAATCAGTGGCTGCTGGTGGACTATCCCTGCCAGATACGTCAATGATACAACACAGTTGCAAATACAATTAAAAAAGAGATTCTTATGCAGATTGACCCTTGGGCAACTCAAGCTCCTATAAAGAAACACGGGAGAGAAAATTATTGTTTATATCTTTTGCATACAGAATGGTTTTATATCAAATACAATATTTGAGTAACAGTGTTTTTGTCTTGTTTAGCACACACCCATCCTTTCAGTGCCAAGCAGTTGCTCATTGGTTAGCTTCTTTGGAAAGAACTTCAAATCCCAAGAGAAAAATCCCTCCCAGTTCAGGATGGGGTGCTTACAAAAGGAACAAATTCATCTGATCAATTTAAAGGAGTTTTTCTTTTTAAAATAAACTTTTCAGAAAAAGCCAGACATCTTTAGAAGAATCTGGCCAGTGATGACTGCATTTTTTAATTTTATCACTGCTTTTATTCTTCAGCTACAATGTCCACAATGTTTAAAATGTTTGCATACAGATGAAGCTGACAAATCCTCCATTGTTTTCACTATCCCATTAACATGGGATACAGTTGTTCAGGAATTCTGATCCATTTGGAGGAAGGAAAGTGAAGTAAAGAAAATGATTAGGGGTGATATGTGATTTTAGCAGCCATGGCAATGGGGCTGTCATTGGCATTTGGCCGTAGCTGCTATCTTTATATTCCAGAATGCCTTGTGGCAATGACACTAGGTGACAGGACTGTGCATGCTTCAAAAATGATTGGAATCATTGTTTCACACCATGCATGAGACCAAGACTTCCTTGTTATTTTATTACTGTATAGATATCCTCATTAGGTTTCTAAAGCTGGGAAGAATTGTGCAGAACCTGAAAAAGGATGCATACTCTCTATGAATAATAGAGAAATACTGTGCTCATATGCAATCCAAAGCACTTCTATCAAATACTATTTGGTGTGCGCAATGTTACGATTTTATTTCAATGCACTACTTTGATGGGCATTGAGTTAGTCAACTTCTGGACACTATGCTTGGTCCCCCCTGAATATGCTACCTAGAAATCTCTGGATATAAAACAAGCAAATGGGGCAAAGTAAGTAAGGTTTTTTTAAAAAAAAAAAACCAAATATCTTTAAAATTTGACTTGAATATTCTTTGAAAAAAAAACTCAAAATAACAGACAAAGAGTATGACTAGAGCAGGTCTCTCTGCAATCTGAAGCAGAAGAGAAAAAGATTCTGTCCATCCAGATACAATAGAAAGGCATGGAGAATGTTATAAAACATGAATATATAGGTAAATAATATAGTAAACTACAGTATAATAGGTGAATGCTACCTATTTCTTTTCTCATGTATGATTTGTTCTGTTCACTTTTTCATTTTCCTCCTGCGCTTTGCATAGTGATGCTTACCTCAAAAAGAAACAGAATGATTATACTGATTATATATCAATGTTGTATCAATAATACATCTTCCTCAGCCATTGTTATATTTATAAACCACGTATCACATCAAATGTTGCAAAATCCTTTTCCCAAAGAAAAGTAGTAGATTTTTATAATAGACAATTGGAAAGAACACATACAATATGTTCTTCTTGTCTTCGAGTGTTTAATAATGTGGCAATCTTGACATGTTATAGAGAAGCAGAAAAACAGATGTCACAGATGTCTTAGCACATCTTTTCTTTCATAGCTTTGTATCCATGGAATGAACAGAGGAGATGAAGTCATGGCAACCTGGAAAATGTTGCGCTGATAACACAGCTTCAATTTGCAATACTTATTTGAAGTACTGCAAGAAAGGGAATTTGGATTCTTCTATGAAAGGGCAGTATGTTCAACTCAAAAACATCTTTTGATTTCAAGTCAGTAAGCATGCCTTTTCTGCGCATACCTTGAAAGGCTTTATAGATGATAGCATATTTTTCTTCTTTTGGAGTGAGAGAGACAAAGAGAGAGAGAGATGTATTCCATACAAATTTGCAAATGGGTAAACCACACCCTGCTGAAAATTAAAACAATACTTACTTAAAGCAGAGGAATATGCCAAGGGAAATCAACACTGAAACAAAGGAAAGGCTAAGGCCAGTAATAGCAATGTAGTAGGTATTCCAAGTTGGCTGGAATAAAACCTAGAAACGAAGGTGGAATCTGAATATAGAAAACTGTTCCTGCTGCAAGTGTTTCATGAAATGTAAAAGCTCAACGTAATCCATACATATACCACTAATAATAATCACAATAAGTACATAATCATAATTTAAGGTCCAAGGGTATTACATCATAATTTTATGTGATGTTTGTTTGTTCAGTTTCTATGGCTGGTCATCTCAATCAATGACACTGGATGACTCATAATTCAAAAAAGAGCAGGGGAGAGTTACAGCAAAGGAGAAGGAATTCAGAGGAAGATCCAGGCCCACCCCCTCTTCATCCTAGGGCACGCAGGGAGGAACGGAGAAGGGAGCACTGTGAGTTGCATGGCTTACAGGGGAGGAAAGGGCTCTGATTGCCTTCATTAGCTGCAGCTGGGAACACAGTGTTTAAAAGGGGAGTTTGCGCACAGCAACTTGTTGGAAGCAAATCTTGAGTTATCTTTTATTGTCAAGACTTATCTGGGTTCCTGGCATCTTCCCAACTGTGTGTGTTTTGTTGGCCTTTGAAGTCTGCAATTCCTTATCCTCCCTGCCCAGTTAATTGCTGCAGCGTAGTTTGTGTGGATTTTTATTTACAGTTTATATATACTTTATTTTCGGACTGAATTTCTTCCACTTAAAGACTGTTCTTGGGAGAGTTTTTTCTCCAGCCAAAGGTAACTGGACATTGGGGCAAAGTTGGGGGCATTAAAGGGACCTTTCTTACTTATGTGACTGTGTTGCCTTTGTGCCATGCCCACAGAGCCACTGCAATGAGAGCTCATCTTCCGACATTCTTTGGGTGACAGGATCTTCACCAGGTTGGGCTGGTAGGGACTTTTGAAAGTAATAGTTCTTTCTCTATAAAGCAGGCAGCATGGTGGCTCAGTGGTTAAGATGCTGGCCTTGTTGGCTGGAAATCTGGCTGCCGAGGTTCAAGACCTGAGGATCATGTATTGCCCCAACTCCTGCCAAACTAACTGTTTGAAAGCATGCAAATGCGATTAGGTAGCACTTCGATAGAAAGCTAAGAGTGTTCCGTGACATCATGCTGGCAACATGACATGGAAATGTCTTTGGACAGTGCTGATGCAACAGTGCCTTGAAACAGAGATAAGCACTGCCCCCTATTATTGGTGATTAGCAAAGTCAAATCAGCAGGGACTCCTTTACCTTTTTCTCTATAAAGCAATAAATGAAACTCCCATTTAGTATTATTTAGCTTTTTCTGGTAGCAGATAGCTGCTGCCTATCACCATCTCTGCACACCCCATTTTGGGCCTCCACGTGTCCCGTTTTCACCCCATTCCAGGAGGTGCTGATCCCTGCCGCCTGGAATGGGTCAAAAACGGGACGCGCAGAGGCTGAAAATGGGGTGCACAGAGGTGGCAATAAGTGGCGGCAGCGATGGGTGGCAGTGATCCCTGCAGCCTGGAACAGTTGATCAGTGGTATTCAGGGAGGCTGATCAAACTGCCAATCAGCTGCTCGTGCTAAATCAGGCTGTGCTGAAGCTGACCAGGCTGTTTACTGTTTGCTGCAAGGAGGCAAATTGCTGGGAGGCAGAGGCTGACTTTTTTTCTTGTTTTCCTCCCCCAAAGTTAGGTGTGTCTCATGGTCTGGAGCATCTTATAGTGCAAAAAATACAGTAAATACAAGTAGAATCTGAAAAGAATTAGAACTGAATAAATTCAAAAGTAGTAAAGATTAAGGGCTACATAAAAAGAAGTGTTTCACATTTACTGTTGCTAAGTTTGTGAATAAATCCTGGATAAAAGTCATTTTACATAGGAAAGTATGATGGAGGACTGAAAATTGGGCTTCTCTGTGTTAGCTATAAAGCTGGTGTGAACCTCCTTACTTAGAGTATGTGGTGTAGTTGGCTTCTCATGGGGGGGGCACATGTCAGGATGCAAGCAAGCAAATAAATAAATAAACTTATTTCAGACAGTATAAAGCTGAATAGAATGGAAAAATAAAGTGTACACCTTAGAGGATTCAATGCTTACAGGTCTCAGTAATTCTGCAGGTTAGTGTCAACATCTGGAGTTTTCTTGTTTGGCAGTTGGTTCATTGCCCATATGATCTCTTGCTCAAGGCCAGTTCTATTTCTACTTCTCTTACCTTGTAATTTTCATCAGAGCAAAGGGTGAAATTTGTCCATTGTCTCTTGCTCTCGGGATGTACAAACCAATGTCCATTTTCTTCACAGATTTTAGTTGCTTTTTCTTGATGAGAAAAAAAACTAAAATTACCACCAGCATTATTTTTTAAAAAACCCAATACAAACAATACACCTTTCTGTCACATAACAATATTTTTTAAGTACTCTTCAAGCACAATTAAGTAGTGAAAAACACATCCTCTACTTTTAGGTTCTTGGAATTTTTCTGATTCTTGAAGCTCCCAAATTTTTAATTAAAGGTTATGAAAAATTATGGCCACCCATGTTTTTCCCAATACAGATTATATCAGAGTTCATCTGAACACTCTCTCTGTTTCAAGATGACCTTTTGTTGTTGTCAAGCAGAGGGAAGGGCAAGGGTATTTTCACTCTGGTCATATACATGTGGATATGAACATTTGAGCCAACAATGGGTATTGGGACTGAGCTTGCACTCTGGCAAGCATCAGCGAGTGGGCTGCATTTATAATAGAACAACAGAAGAGATCTTGGAGGTCTTGTAGTCCAACTGTCCGTTCAAGCACGAGACCTATATGATTGTAGATTCACAATAAATTCACTGATTTATTGTTCTGTCAGGAAAATTCTCCTTATTTCTAGGTTCGTTCTCTCCTGGATTAGTTTCCATCCATTGCTTCTTATTCTGCCTTCAGGTGCTTTGGAAAAATAGATTGACCACATCTTTTTTTTGTGGCATCCCCTTAGATATTAGAACACCGCTATCATGTCACCTCTAGTCCTTCTTTTCCTTAGACTAAACAAACCCAACTCCTACACTTTTTCCTATGTTTTAGCCCCCAATCCCCTAATCATCTTTTTAAAGTCTCAATTTCATTCATCTCTACCTCTACCTCTACCTCTACCTCTGCCTGACTATCTATCTATCTATCTATCTATCTATCTATCTATCTATCTATCTATCTATCTATCTATCTAACTATCTATCATCTATCTATCTATCTATCTATCTATCTATCTATCTATCTATCTACCTACCTACCTACCTACCTACCTACCTACCACCTACAGAAGGGGTCTTCAAACTTGACAGCTTTAAGACTTGTGGACTTCAATTCCCGGAATTACCTCCTCCAGTCATGCTGGCTCAGGGATTCTGGAAGTTGAAGTCCACAACTCTTAAACTTGCCAAGTTTGAAGACCTTTGATCTACAATATCTATCTATCATATTTAGAATTACCACCCCCCCCCTTTTGTTTTTTTACAATGGAATGAACACTGAGCATTTTCAGTCCTGTAACCACATGTTGGTTTCCCAGATTTTCTGGCAAAAGTCTCTAATGACTCTGAGTGTTGGAGGTCTTAGTACTTCTGCAGGGATAGTGTCAATACTTGGAGACTTTTGTTTGGCAGTTGGTTCATAGCCCATATGATCTCTTCCTCAAGGATAGCTGGTTCTATTTCTACTTCTCTTACCTTGTCATTCCCCAGTTGGGTCCCTTTGCTATCTGCGTCCAATTTTTTTGTATATTCTCAGCATCTGTTCTTGATGCCTTGTTGATCAGGTAGTTTTCTCCCTTGCTTTTTTTTTTAATGATGCCTCTATGAGCAATAAATGGTGCTTGGATCTTTTCGACTTTGCATAAATGCATTCCTGGTGTGACCCTTCATGTCTTTTGCTTCAAGCTGCTTACTGCTCATCCCAGTAAATTTCATTATCCTTCCTTGCTGTCCTTTGGAAAGTTTCATTCAGTTTTCTTACTTCTTTCCATTTGCCTGCTGCCTTGGATGTTTTTCTTTGCTCATCATCTTTGATGGTTTCATCTGAGAGCCACTTGTACTTTTTATCTGGCTTCTCTGAGGTATGTATTCTTCTGCAAATCCAATAATGATTGATTGGATTTCTTGCCACAATTCATCAGGCATTTTGTCAGCAGTGTCCAGTAGTTCAAATTTATTTTTCATCTCTATTGTATATGCAGCAGGGATTTTGGTTGCATCAAACTTCTTTGGAGACACTGCCTTTTTGATGGAACATAATTTGACTTTAATCTTTGCCACCAACACTTCATGATCTGAACCACAATCAGCCCTTTGATATATCTTAACAGCAAGGAATTATTTCACACTCTGTTGCAGTAGTTGTTGGGGTATAAATTTGGATATATAATGTTGAGGAGTTTGGCATGAATTCTGATGGTCATAATTTACTCATTGACAGTTGAGAAGCTTTCCATTAATCAGCAAGTTTTTTGCTTACAATAAATGCCACTCCATTTGTTTTGCTGGTGTCATGTCTTGAATAACAGACAGCAAAGTCCTCAGACTGGGAAAAGTCATTGTCTGACCAGTGTAGTTCATTGACACCAAGGAGATCAATTTTCAACCTGACCATCTCACATTTGACAATATATAATTTACCCTGCCTCATTCCACTGACATTCCATGTGGCTATCCAATGTATCTCTGTACAATACAGACATTAGCTTCCATCATTGACTGCCACAGCAATGGGAGTCCTGTTGTTGGGCACTCATCTGACATATTTGAGTCCCATTCCATTGGATTTTCTTGGTTTTTTGAAGAGCAGGTCACAAGGTCTTTCTCCAACCCTGTAATTCACTTTTTGACAGCTGCCCAGGCACAGCAACTGTTGTGGTTCTTGTTAACCCTTGCAATTCAGTATGAGATTCTTTTGCAGTTGCTTCATTATGATTAATGGGTTTGTGAATATATTTAGTCTGGCTCCTCAGTTATGACCCGTCTGGCTTGAGTGACTCTTCTGGTATATTTTCTGGTGGTATACCTTCCACATAGCTCTCAACCTCATTAGAACACACAAGCCCCCCCCCCCCGGGGGGGGGGGGCATCCATATGGAAGGGAGTATTTATAGGACTATCCTTCAATTACTTCATAAAAAAATTAAATAGCCTGCTATTTGAGAAACATTTTAACCTGGGTCAAGACTCAAACACTTTGCTTGAAAAAAAATGATTTGATTGGAATTATGCCAGATTTAGGATAGAAAAAGGGATAGATATGCCTCTAGAAAATAAAAGAGCTGTACTTTTTTCTTATTCCTTGAAGTTACCACACACTGCTTATTCTTTTCCTTTTTCTTTTTCAATTTCTTTTAAAAAAAATATATTTTATCTTTTGTAGAAATTTAATAAAGCATATATAAGCTAAAGAGTAAAAGAACTGTTGTCAATAGATTTGAACGGATTCAGTGTCAATCCTAGATTTCAGTACCGTATAAAGATATTATTTTAAAGAATTGGCTGGATTTGGTAACTTCCTTATATGGATCATGCCATTATACTTCCATTTATTTTCTGTTTGTCTTTTATCTGCATGGTCTTATCAAAAGCAACCCAGTTCATCAAATCCAATTCTTTTTAGCTTTTTGTAATCAACCAAGGCAGAGGCTATTTTTAATTCTTAGGAATCAGTTTGAGAACTCTGCAAACAAAGCATCATTCCTAACACTTTTCTCCTGAGTTTTCTATGCAACTTACATTGTTAATAAATACAGTGACTGGAAAGTTTGAAGAAATCCCAAGCAAAATGAGGAAAAGAAAGGCAACATGGGGGATCAGAATAACAGGCATTCGAATTTCTCAATTCAGCCTACCAGTTCTCTAAATTAAATAGGAAAGTCAGAAGTCACTTGCTATTCCCTGGGAAAGTAGGAAGAGCATTAAAGATCCTTTAGGGTTTGGAAAAATATAATCAGATTGGAATTCTACTTGGGGTCCTCATAAGGTGGAAGTCCAGCTGCTAATTTGCATCTCAATCTTTACAGTGCCAGTGAACAAAGCACTGTGGTTATTTACCTTGAATGTTAAAATCCTGAAAGTAAGGTGGACAATTTTGTGTGACTGTTTTTCCTGAAGGAGTGTCATCCCAGCATAACCAGCCATCCCATGTTCTATTGCAGTAAGAACCTACAAATTAAGGAGAAATATGTTCAGTTTTTAATCTATAATACATTTGTGCTTGTTATATCAGTTTTCTAGAGAATGATCAGAGAGGATAGATTATAGAAAGAAGGAAGTTATGTTGTAATCATAGAACAAGAGGTAAATTTATAGCAGTAGTTATAACTGCTATAAAGATCAGAAGCTATTTTTTGTATCTTTTTTCTTTCTTTTCTATTTTTCTTTTGCTTTTTTAACTTTTCTTCCACTTTTAGATTTTTTTCTGATTTTCTTTTTCTTTTTTCAAACTTTATATTTGTATAAGTTTTTATCTTTTATGAAATTCTTTAATAAAAAATATTTAATAACAAATTATTTTTTATTTTTAAAAAAATCAGATGCATACAGTGGCTGAACTAATATAGGATTTAAATCAGAATGAGGTGGAGTGGGTGAAGGAGAGGTGAACAGGTTGGTTGGGCAGATACAGTTTACGTGTGAGGCTGTGGAACAACTTGTCTCCAAAAGTTGTGGTTGCTCCAATAGTGGAGGTTTTTAAGAAGAGATTGGACAGCCATTTGTCTGGAATGGTATAGAGTAGGGGTGTCAAACTCGTGGCCCACAGGCCGGATGCGTCACATGCTGGCTATTCCCACCTCCGGTTTAGTGAAGGGGAAAAGTCATAATACGTCACATGATGACGATGTGACAATGCAAGTTTGACACCCCTGATACACAGTCTCCTGCTTGAGCAGGGGTTGAACTAGAAGACCTCCAAAGTTCCTTTCAACTCTTTTATTCTGTTATGTATACCTATTAAGAGTCTAGATTACCTAAACTGATATAAGATTTAAATTAAAGTTTGTTAACCTATTGTATTTGTTGAGATCTTTTGAAATAAACTGAAACCTTTTGGTGCATATCGGAATAAATTACTTGGCCTAGATGCAGGCACAAATATGTGGTTTATCTTATAACAGGCTTTCTCTAGTAATTAATCTGGTTCTATTGATGTGTTTGTTGATCTTGTTGTGTGAGTAGTTCAGTTTTCTTAATGTCTGTTTTAATTCCATCACTCTCTGTCAAGGAGGTCAGAACAGAAGCAGTTGTAGTGCTTAGTCTGGCTGTCAATGAAATATTTGGTGGTAGGTTTGGATAAAAATAAAAAATTTAGGAAGAAGCAATTCCTTAATCATGGAATCATTCAGAAGGAAGCCCCAACCTTATCCATGAAGAGGAGAATTTGCCTTGGAGGATTAATGGAACAAGGCCTTGTGGGGAAAAAAAATTAATCTTTAGCCAAAGATTTAAAGTTGTTCTACAGATTCTTGCTTTGACGTTTATTAATCAAAAATATATTCATATTGGTAACATAACAAGAGTACTTTTTTACCTGTATTCTCATGCACAGGAACGTGTATAATTTTCTGGTAACATTCAAACTGTGCTTTCATTATAGTTTCATTTGTTTTCATTTTCATTTTTGATGAAAATGCTTAAATAAGAACCTGAAGGTTAAAAAAAAGATAGGACAAGATCTGCTATTAAATGTACAATTCAGCTTACTCTAAAGTACACAACAGAATCCCAGTATTATATACTAAAAAGAAATGTCCATGAGGAACTGAAATTTAAATTTCTATTAAATACCTGAGTTCCAAATTTGTTTCCTAATTTCTTCAGAATCTGTAAACACGAAGAGTAATATTATTAATATATTTAATTACATGTATAGGAACAAACTCTGTAACACTCTATTTACATCAGCAGCTCATGTTCCTCTATTTTCTAGAGTTGTGCTTTAGCTATTGTAATAAATAATCTTTGAGCATGGACCCCAAATCTCTTTTTTCTTGTTCCTGTAATTTAATAGACCTAAAACTGTTTACATGTGAAATGTAGTTCAATACATTTTTAAGAAAAAAAAAATGTTTTAAGAAACTGTATATATCAGCTTACCTCTTGATCATGAAAACCTGATGAGAACCGGTAAGTGTTCCTAGTGGTTTCCAAGAAAAAAACTATGTTGAAAAAACATATTAAATGTTAATTTTATCATTCGTATATCACAGAGATCCATCTATATATGAAGCAAATTTCTCACAGAGCTTCAGTCCATTAAATTCAATATCACAGGGTTTAATGTTGATTAGCAACCACAACATTGAAAGGGAAGGGACTACATTGACTTCATGTTGTGACTTTTTTGATCACTACTAACCATCAGACATTTCTTGAGCGTGTACCCTGTGTGTGGAAGGACCTGTAATTGCCAGCAAAGTTCCCTTGGCTTTGGAGGTGAGGTGCTTCAATGCCCATTGCAAAAGCTCAGGCAGGCAGGCTCAAATGATGGCCATAGAGGTGGCACCAATAAGATACTAACTGAGACAGAAAGACTGATTAACAGGTAGGAGGCATTGAACAGATCAACCAAAATATAGAATGGATATCATAGTTTTGTAACGTAGAAATGACAGGCGTAATGTTTGCACTTACTGTTTACGCTGTTCCTGGTCTGTTTGATTCTAAGCTGACTTCAGAAAATTCTATCTGGTCTGCATTGAATTGAGACATTTTGATATCAGTTTGCAAGTTATTTATTGTGTGGACTGTAGGATACCATTGTATAATTTCCATTTTAAGAAAATAATTGCCAATCATTTTTCTTCCTGTGAACAGATCATCTCATATACATACAGTTTTATATGTGCATCTTCCTCTCCTCTCGTCTCCTCTCTCTTACACACACACACACACACACACACACACACACACACACACACTAAATTGAATTTATATGTGGTTAAAATAAAAGTTTCAAAATGCATGCACAACTTTTTTTAAAAGCTATCTTTACCACGAGTACTAGAATTGCAAAATTGCTATAACTCTTGGCTTGTAAAACTATAATGGCTATTTGAGAACTGAGAGTGAGTGTCTTTTACCCCAGATGAGTGGGATCTGGCAGATTCCAAAACAGCAATCTTCTGTTTACAAGGCTTGAAAGTAAATGATTAAAAAAATTAAAAGAAGGCAACACCACTCATCCCTGCCCTCCACAAATAGATGCCAATCTATTCTGGTAATGAGGCAATTAGGCAGTACGGATAAATCCAGAATGTGAAAAATCACAAGTACAAGACAAGAACTAGAGCAGGGGTTTCCAACCTTGGCAACTTTAAGACTTGTAGACTTCAACTCTGAGAGTTCCTCAACCAGCTTTGCTTCAACTCTGGGAGTTGAAGCCCACAAGTCTTAAAGTTGCCAAGGCTGGAGACCCCTAAACTAGAAGATGGACATATTAACAGATGGTATCTAGTACAGGCTGGGAAAGGAGACTGCAAATATTTCTAAATCAGGTCAGACCATCATCATAGTAGCTTCTAACTTGCTTCGGTATATTTATACATGACAAAAAGCATGTTGGGAGTCCACATGTATTCAATGAGTAAACATGTCACTTGTCCAACTAGATCAGACTGTCATAGTACTAAAGTAGATTCAGAGGCAATAGTTTTATGAGTAACCAATTACCAATTCTATCAATAAGATAAACTTGGAAGAAAAAAAAGGGCCCCAGAGATCTTTATCAATGGACTGGAAAAAATGTTTCAAGATGGGGGAATCAAGGAAGGGCAGCAGGTCAGTGGAAAACCATCTACTTTGTTACTGTGTTCAGTTCTCAGTTAACAGTTCCAGAAAGAGTTGGGCCCTGAAAAAAACACTTGCAGTAAGAGCCAAAGCTAAGTTAAATGGACTGTCTAAGACAGCTTCCTATGTACTGACTAAAGGTAATTCATTTCATTCCGATCTTTTCCTTCATCATCATTATTCAATACCTTCACAAAGTGATGGGTTTCTATGTATTCTAGTTGTGGGGTCATTAGCAGCATGATGAATTCTTAACTGCAGCCAATCTTTCTCCCTATCTGCTACATTCATTGGTTACCCATTATTTATTTTTATTTAGCGGCAGCATTGAGACTTAACAGATGTTAATCTTTTTTTTAAATAATGGATGTTAATAGATCTTTTATTTAACGATCTATTTTATTCAATCTTGATTAGATTTATGAAAGCAGTAAGGTCATTTTACCAAATTCCCTTTTTGTTTTCTGAAATGTTGGTTGGAATGAAATTTGTACAGTATTTTTAAAGTATTTAAGTACAATTCAGTATACAGTTGCTTTTTCAGTTGCCCAAAACAATCAAAAATATTTTATTTTTCAGTGAGCTGTTATATATTACACAGTTTCAAGCTGAAACCTTAGTCCAAATACTATGTGGAGTCAGGGTGGACCTTGTGCTAGGACTAATATCTCTTTAGTGCCCCAAACTAAATTTCTGTTATCTACACTTGTAGTACCCAGAGACATTTCCAAAACTCTAATCAGGTTAAAAATAGGGATCTGTAAAACTGAAGTTAGGGCATGGAGATTGATGTTAAACTGCTGACAGAAGGCCCAGTTCTCCTCCTCAGGACTATCTCAATTAATAATGACCAGTAAATGCTCCTTAAGTTTGAATGATGTCATAGAACAAAAACAAATGATTTATCAGCTATCATTAGAGTTTCTACAATTCTTGGGCTATGACCTTGCCAAATGCACACTTCTTCAAAGATTTGATGACACTGAACTTCAGGCAGTAAGTAGCTTGTCACAGAGAAATAGGATTTGGGTGACAAAGGGCTTTTGAGAAACAGCCAATTATCTCTCTTTACTGACATTCCCCAAATTAAGAAGAACTTTCTCCTGGGCAAAGCCTAATAATTGCCTACAGGACAGATATTCTAAAGTCTCTCTGGAGAAATATGCTTGCTTGCCCATGTGTAACTGGAATTGTGACAGTCCAACACTGAATTCAGCAGTAATGAATACTCTAAAGAATCAAATTCTAAAACATACTAAGTTTTAATCAAGTATCTTTAGCTTCCTGAAATTGCAGTAATCTTTCAAAAGAGTTTTACTGTTTCAAGTGCTAGGGGAATGAAGAGAGTTGGAGATATTAATCATTTTTTCAAAAGTTATTTAATTTTCTGAATATTAATCTGCCATATATAATAGCAATAGTTGACAATCTATTTATTTTCTTATTCACTTGCCAAAGCAAGGGAGGTCCATCACTTTTATTTTCTATCCCAATCTAATTTTCTGTATAACATTCCAAGCCATCCCTCCAAATTTCAAAAGAAATATCCTTTTGATATGCTACCATAATTACATTAAGTACACACACATACCTATATATATTGTTATAGATCAGCACTCACCAAATATTTTTCATAAGATATTGAAAAGATCAATAATTCATCATTTGCTTTACAGTTCAAATGGAGGAATGGGAGATGGGTACTAATATTATCTGCAATGTGATACAATGAGTCATAGTTATCAGTCATCATATGATGAAAAATATCTGATTGTCCACCTATGTAACTTACCAGCAATCTGAAGGAAACAGTATTCCAGATATATATCAGTTTACACACCACCACCACTATATAATTTTAACAGTTAAGCTGTCTTAATGAAGAAGTAGTCCTTTCCCTTAACATAATTGGCTCTGGGATCTTGGAGAGAAAGCAATTTTTACGCTTATGTATGGATTCCCTTCTCATCTTGGTGGCCTATGTCTTCCTCAATCTCAGGTCCTCATTCCGAAGCCCAGCAGTTTAACAGTTCTGCCCAATATCTTGGCAGTTCCTACTACTCTGTTTTTCTGAACAGAGAACTTGACGTTCCTGGAATCTGTTGGAGCCACTCTACCAATTTATAAATCAGAGAAGTGCTCTTACCACAGCTGTGACCACTTTGGCTTTTACTTTCCTTTAGCCCCTAGTACTTCTCCAGTTTCAACTTCTATCACCACCACTTCAGTCCTTATATAATGTCACAACGATTGGTTGACTGGCTAGTCCATGTCTGTACATCTAGCTCCAGAAGTCTCCCAGGATCTTAGTCCTTTTATTCTCATGGCCTTCTGTGAGATTTCTCATTAGGAGGGTCCAGCCCATATGCTATGTAGATGTTCCTGTACAAATGCCATATACTTGGTTGTGCCATTCAATGTTTACTGTTCCTGCCTGAATCTTACACTCTGCCACTAAGTGTTGGATTGTCTCTGAGGCCTCCTTGACAGATCTCTCCCTCCCTCTCTCCCTCCCTCCCCCTCTCCTGTCCCCAGGGGTGGGATTCTACAGGTTCGCACCTATTCTCTAGAACCGGTTGTTAACATTCTAAGCAGTTCGGATAAACAGTTGTTAGAAGAAATTACTGGCCTAATCCTGTAAGGAAGGCAGGAAGGAAACATTCTGGTATTGCTTACAGAAACTGTCTCTCTGTTAACCCTTATTACATTCTTGGCAGGACTAGACTTCCTGTCTCAGGAACATCTCTGGAGTTTTTTTCCCTCCTTTGCTGGTACCTTGCTTGTGTGGAGTGGCCATTCAAAGTTACAATGGCACTGGAATAAGTAACTT